TTGAATTAGTCTTACGCCTCTAATGACCCACTAACTACATGCAGGTCACTTCGTCTTGACCCCTGACCTGTCCTCACCTTCCACACCTGCCCCATCCCTTATCAATTGGTTAAACTTGTTGACTTTTACCATCACCACACACACACTTCTACCACCACACACCACCACCACCACCACTACCACCACCACCACCACTACCACCACACACACACTTCTACCACCACACACCACCACTACCACCACACACACACAACTCCTACATCACACCACCACACACCACCACCACACAAGCCTCCACCATCACCACACACACACTTCTACCACCACACACCACCACTACCACCACACACCACCACTACCACCACTACCACCACACACCACCACTACCACCACACACCACCACTACCACCACCATCACACACCACCACCACGCTGGAAAGTTTCAAAAGGAGGCTGGATAGATTCATGGATGATAGAGAGTGGTAGTAACTCTCGACAGGAGCTGCCATGCACAGAACTACCGGCCTATTGCAGATTCCTTATTTTCTTATGTTCTTATACCTAGATACCTTATACCGTATACCTAGATACCTTATACCTTATACCTAGATACCTTATACCGTATACCTAGATACCTTATACCTTACACCTTATACCTAGATACCTTATACCTCCAACTAACACTAGACAAAAGCTAAGGTAATGTTCCTTTGTGTATCCCCACCTCTGACGTCACTCAGGTGGGTCTTATAGTTGTCATGGTAACGGGATGTTCTCTTCTCTCTCTTAAGACGTATGTCATTTCCTTCACTTCTCGACGGTTGGGTTAGGTAAGGTTTAAGTAATATTTGGTTAGGTTAGGTTAATCGGTTGGGTTAGGTAAGGTTTAAGTAATATTTGGTTAGGTTAGGTTAATCTGCAGGTGAAATAAACTGAGGGGAAGGGCATCTGTATAGTTAATGATCATCTCCTAAAGCATTCAAAGAGTTTATTCCCACATTCTTAACCTAACCTAACCTAAGATGATAATCACTAAAACAGACAGACAGACAGACAGACAGACAGGATGGATCTATCACGCCTCAAAAAACCTTAATATCCTGAGTGTAAACATGTATAGTGTCTAACTTTCACTTCACCTCACCTTACTTCACCTCACCTCACACACACACACACACTCGTAATCCACTCACCCAGTCAATTGTTTAAGAGACAGTCAAAAGCCCCTCCTCTCCTCCTCCTCTTACCTCTTGTTCCTCCTCTTCCTCTTGTTCCTCCTCTTCCTCTTGTTCCTCCTCTTCCTCCTCCTTCCAATCGTGTAATCTTGGGGATCGCTAATGTAAACATGATGGCGAGGGATGATAGTGTTAATCCATCTCTGGCTGTAAGGTTGGTTTTCCTGTGTGTTGAGAGGTGATAATGACCCGTTGATGGAGGGGAAGGATTAGCGCCTGCTGGTGTGGAAGACAAGGCGGAAGTGTGAGTTCTCTGAGCGTGGGAGGGATGGAGGGAAGGGAGGGGGCAGGATGGAGGGGAGGGAGGGAGGGAGCAGGATGGAGGGAAGGGAAGAGGGGGAGGGAGTGGAATGAAGAAGGGAGGGAGGGAGGGGAAAAGGGGTAGAGGGAGAGAAGGGAATGAAGGGGAGGTGGGGAAGGTAATGTGTTAACTCACTCGGACAGTTTTAAGTATACTCAGACAGCAGGTATACGATTAGCAAATGGCCACAGCTGATTGGTTAACTCTGACATTCTGCCTTGGGTCTATTGGCTGTCAGTAGCTGTGTCACTATGGGGGTACAGGAGAAAGTTAAATTGCGAACTGTAGATGATTCCTTTAACGAGAGAGGTGAGGAAGAACGAGAGAGGTGAGGAAGAACGAGTGAGGTGAGAAAGAACGAGTGAGGAGAAAGAACGAGAGAGGTGAGAAAGAACGAGAGAGGTGAGAAAGAACGAGAGAGGTGAGAAAGAACGAGAGAGGTGAGAAAGAACGAGTGAGGAGAAAGAACGAGAGAGGTGAGAAAGAACGAGAGAGGTGAGAAAGAACGAGAAAAATATTACAAGGTGGTGTTCGGTTTGTTTACCTGGGGATTAGCGCCTCTCCTATTGGTTGTTGACGCTTAGCTCTCAGTCTTACCAACACTTCCACACAATTGAGCTCTGAGGTCAACTTAATCACGCGTACCTTAACCTAACCTAAATCTAACCTAACCTAACCTAACGCCTTGGGGGCGTTTTGTAGAGTGTGGGTTATAAACAATACACGTGGTTAGGTATATACTCTAACACATGTTGTTTATAGTACCCCTGAAGAATCGTAGCCCCAGCTTATTTCACCTGAAGATTAACTACCTTAATGCTAACTTAATCTAACCTTAACCTATTCTATCCTAACCTACATCTAACCTAACCTATCCTAACCTAACCTAACCTAACCTAACCTAACCTAACCTACATCTAACCTAACATATCCTAACATATCCTAACCTAACCTCATCCTCCCAAAATAGTTTTAGGGTGGTTTAATAGTTAGGTGAAATAAGCTGGGGCGATGATTCTTCAGGTGATCCATTAATTTTTTTTACCTGATAATTAAGCACTAAAGTTCCTGTAGTTTGGTTAGGTTAGGTGGAAGGTGTGATTAGGTTAGGTTAGGTTTGGTTAAGTTAGGTAGAAGGGTATCAAGTAGAGACCAGAGGAGTAGAGACCAGAGGAGTAGAGACCAGAGGAGTAGAGACCAACTATAGAGACCAGAGGAGTAGAGACCAGAGGAGTAGAGACCAACTATAATAGAGACCAGGGACAGGTAGACAAGCAGGTGAGGGAACATCAAGCAGAAACGTGAAGAGTTAATTAAATCTTAATGAAATACCTGACATCTCTCGTCCCGGCAGGTGTGTGTGTCTTTCTGGCTGTCTGTCTGTCTGTCTGTCTATCTGCCCTGTCTATTTACTATATATCGACTCGTGTAGGTATCTGTCTCTCTCTCTCTCTCTCTCTCTCTCTCTCTCTCTGTGACAGCTCTAGACTCGTGCAGGTGTATTTGTCTCTGTCTGTCTGTCTATCTGTCCTGTCTATTTACTATATATCGACTTGTGTAGGTATCCTATCTGTCTCTGTCTGACTGTCTGTTTGTCTGTCTGGCGTCTCTGTCTCCGGTCCATGGTATACACACACACGCACACACACACACACACACACACACACACACACACACACACACGGGAACCAACAGTGTAATCTGAACTCCTTAATAGATGCAGTACGCGTTTTGGTTATAAATAATTAATATATAACTTTTAATAACCACGGTAGAGTTGTATAGTACTTAAAACAACTATACAATCTCCTTCAGAGTGTGTGTGTGTGTGTGTGTGTGTGTGTGTGTGTGTGTGTGTGTGTGTGTGTGTGTGTGTGTGTGTGTGTTGTGATTGCTGATGACTATACACGTAAGCGGAAACCAATTACTGTACCTGGCTAATTAAATCTGAACACCTGTTGAACACCTGACAAAATCTCAAGTATTTCAACATGTAAATTTCCTTAAGAACAAAATTCAATGTAAAAATATACTGACACCTAAAATTCCAAAATCCCATTAGGTTAGATTAGGTTAGGTTAGATTAGGTTAGGTTAGATTAGGTTAGGTTAGGTTAGACTAGAGACATTCAAGCAGAGGAGAACTTGTGATTGTGTGTGTAACATATTAGTAATGGCAGGTATATGGTACAGGTATATGGTACAGGTATATGGTACAGGTATATGGTATAGGTATATGGTACAGGTATATGGTACAGGTATATGGTACAGGTATATGGTACAGGTATATGGTACAGGTATGTAATTTGCAGATATATGGTACAGGTATATGGTACAGAATTTATATGGTACGAATTATATGGTACAGGTATATATGGTACAGGTATATGGTACAGGTATATGGTACAGATATATAGTACAGGTATATGTTACAGGTATATATTACAGGTATATGGTACAGGTATATGGTACAGGTATATGGTACAGGTATATGGTATAGGTATATGGTACAGGTATATGGTACAGGTATATGGTACAGGTATATGGTACAGGTATATGGTACAGGTATATGGTACAGGTATATGGTACAGTTATATGGTACAGTTATATGGTACAGGTATATGGTACAGTTATATGGTACAGGTATATGGTACAGGTATATGGTACAGGTATATGTTACAGGTATATGGTACAGTTATATGGTACAGTTATATGGTACAGGTATATGGTACAGGTATATGGTACAGGTATATGGTACAGGTATATGGTACAGGTATATGGTTTATTTCAGTTTTAACACTAACCTAACCTAACCAAATATTAAATCTAACCAAACAAAACATTATTTACTCCCCCCCCCCCTCCATAGGTATTGTTAGGGTGTTTAATCTTCAGGTGAAATAAGCTCGAGGGCGGGGGGGGTGTGTAATCTTCATGTGTCGTCCGGAACAGGGGGAAGGAAGGGCCCCGGTGGGTCTGTGTGTGTATGGAGGACAACGATGATGAGTTCTTCCTTGTCCTTTTGGTCGTCAATTGTAGCGGTGGCGGTCGTGTCCTCCCGCGCTTTTGTTGTCCCCGGGTTGTTCAGTGCGCCTCCGCTGGGCCGCTTACATCAGGAGGCAACGATAACATTTGTACGGGAACAAAGCCTGACCATCTCGTCCCCCATTGCTTCTTCAGAGATAATCCCCTAGTCTTCCTCAGGCCCCACCCACCAGCATCCTTTTGTTGTGGCGGACCAATCACCTGCCAGGGATGGGGGGAGAGGATCTGGCGGTAAATGTTTGAGCTCATTGCTGGTTGGTCGGGTGGTGATGGTAGCTCCTCCCACGGGTTATTGTCACAGCCACTCAGCTTGGGTCTTTTGGCACCGTGGGCGGGATGGTGTTACCGAGATGAGAAAAGTTTGTACAAGCATCTCTTGACACGGAACAAGCTCATTTTAAACTCTTGAGAGCAGAACATGTGACGGGGGGACGAGAGTGATGCAAAGTGACGTTCTAGTTGTTTGCCACACGCTGATGAGTGACGCGGCCCTTGACTCACGCTGATTCCCCTTCCCCCTCCCTCCCTCCCATAACAACAACGAGAAGAACTAAGTGTTACACCCGGGAGGAACCTGTTGATCGCGTCACGAGGGGAAAGGTTTAATAATGTATTCCGAGGTGAACCAAACACAGTGATGCCCCGCCATAATACCTACCTCTAGTGTTTAATGTGGCCGTGATATAGTTGTTAACCAAGTGATGGATTTAATAGAGAAATATATATAAAGTTATCTACCGTTATCGCTGTTAACATAGATAAGGGAGTATTGATGTTTGGGTTGGTTGTGGTGTGCGCCGCCGTATGTGAGGGATAGAGGATGAAGACGTCGGAGTGTGGCCGCCCTCCGTCCGTCGACTCCCTGGGCAGCCTCTCCATCCCATCGCCTGGTGCCCTCGTACCTGCAGCGCCTACGTCACCTACTAATCCCCTCGCCGCTGCCGCCTCCTCCATCACCCCCACCATGGCCAGGGACGCTACCGCCGAGGCCGCAGGAGCTAACGCAGGACCTGGCTCTTCCTCATCCTCATCCTCCTCCTCTTCCTCAACCCCCGAAGGATCTAACCTCCTTCAGGGTAAAGGCAGCCTGCAGTTCAGCCCAGAGCAGATAGACTGTGTATGTGAGACCCTACTACAGGCTGGGGACATGGATCGCCTAGGTAGGTTCCTCTCTATCCTGCCGCTACACACGGAGGTCTCCCGCTCCTCTGAGGTGATCCTGCGGGCCAAGGCGTCGGTGGCGTTTCACAGGGGCACGTTCAAGGAGGTGTATAGCCTCCTGGAGACCAACACCTTTACGGCCAAGTACCACACGGAGATGCAGAACATGTGGTATCGAGCTCACTACAAGGAGGCCGAGAAGATTAGACAGAGGCCGTTAGGTGAGCTATTTAACTACCTCGTTCAGTAGTTTGTTTCCCCAGTTGTAACTATAGGTGAGCTATTTAACTACCTCATTCAGTAGTTTGTTTCCCCAGGTGTAACTATAGGTGAGCCATTTAACTACCTCGTTCAGTAGTTTGTTTCCCCAGTTGTAACTATAGGTGAGCTATTTAACTACCTCGTTCAGTAGTTTGTTTCCCCAGGTGTAACTATAGGTGAGCTATTTAACTACCTCGTTCAGTAGTTTGTTTCCCCAGGTGTAACTATAGGTGAGCTATTTAACTACCTCGTTCAGTAGTTTGTTTCCCCAGGTGTAACTATAGGTGAGCTATTTAACTACCTCGTTCAGTAGTTTGTTTCCCCAGGTGTAACTATAGGTGAGCTATTTAACTACCTCATTCAGTAGTTTGTTTCCCCAGGTGTAACTATAGACCATTCTGGTGAGTGATTTGTCTCAATGTAATTAACTACTGCCCCACCCCTCCTTATCGAGTATATAGTTAGTTTATAACGTAACTAACGACCATGCTGAGTAATTCATCGCCAACTTGTTTAATTACCTTGTTGAGTTATTAATATATTGACAACTTAACTACCAAATACTAGTTTATTGTACATTGGTGAGGGATTAGTCATCTTAATTACCTTTTTGTAGTACTTTTTGTCATTGTAATTATCTATAAAAATTACCTTTGTATTAATTGGTTGTTAAATGTCACCTCTAGCTTTCGTTATTTCTGACTCTTAATTACTTAATTCTCGTTAGCCGTCTGTCTTAATTACCTACTACTAGTTAGCCGTTTGCCTTAATTACTTACTACTCGTTAGCCGTCTGCCTTAATTACCTACTACTCGTTAGCCGTCTGCCTTAATTACTTACTACTCGTTAGCCGTCTGTCTTAATTACTTACTTCTCGTTAGCCGTCTGTCTTAACTACCTATCTCGTTAAGTAATTGAGTAATTGGCAATCAGCGACCTCTCGTTGTTCTTCCATGTCTTAATTACCTCGTTAAGTAAATTTATACACAAACCTAATTTTAAAACAGTGACTTTCGTTAACTCTGTCTCTCCTCATGTAATATATTGACAACGTATAACTAACCTATCCTCGTTAATCATCTATATCTCAGTGGCGGCCTCTCGTTAAACCACCACCTCGTTAACCACCACCTCGCTAAATGGTCTTATTGTTAATGTAAACTTTCATTGTTTTTTTAACGAGTTTATTTGTTTATTAAGAAAATATTGTTAATGAACCTCTTGAATAAGCTCGTTCATTAATTACATTACTTTTCTTTAACGAGTGTTGAATTTAATGAGAGAACAAGAGGTGATTCCCACACACGTCTTAACCACCTTGTTCAGTTAGTTACTTAGTCTTTATAACCTTACAGTATACCTTGTTAAAGTTAGGTTTGTGTTAGCGTTAGGTTAGATTAGGTTAGATTAGCGTTAGGTTAGCGTTAGGTGATCTTGGTACCAATTCACATCTGGGTCGACTTGGGGTGGGTGCCCTGGGTGTAAACTATAGTGACACTTAGGACAGTTGGGAAGCGCTGTGTCCACTCGGCCATCGTAACTACTAATTGTTAAGTGACGCATTCCCCTAATTACCTTGTTAGAGCATAGGTGATCAGTGGTCTAACGACCCTTTGATAAATAAAACGACATTAACAGCTTCAGTGGTCGTTGTATAGTTCACATAGGGACTAAACGACCTGTGTAGTGTATACAGTATAGGTCGTTAAGACTATACTATAACCCCAACGACCATATCAGCGCACGACTACAGCCCAACCAAAAGTCGTCAACCACTCGTCTCAACCCAAAACCAACCATTCTAATTACAGTGTGTGTAGTTCACCCTCGTAACGACCTTAACCGTACTACCCAATTACGACGTGTAGGTCTGAATCACCCCTCGACTCAAACAAGCACACGTGGGGTGGACTGTTCCCCCAGGGAGTATTGATGACCTGATTAGAGGCCGATCGTTACGCCTACCTCCCCTGGGAACTAACTACCACCGTGGTTGTTTGCTGGTTGTTGAGGACCATTTAAAGATTAGCCACCCCTCAATCTTATTTCATTTGATGCTTAGTATACACGATTCCTAACCTAACCAAACCAAACCTAACCTAACCTAACCTTAACTAAAGCTAACACAATCGTATATTACATCACAAGTAAATTCCTAATATAAAAATCGAATATTTTTGCAACAGAAAAATCTAGAAAATTATTACACATTTTTTGTAACAACTAAATACTTTTTTTTAACCTTATAACTAAAAGCAAAATCAGAATATATATTTTTTACAATAAACCACGTAAAAAAGATTATATATTTTACCATAGACAGTATCTAAAATTATATATATTTTAACCATAAACAATAACCTAAAAAGTTTATATATTTTTTACAACCTATAAATCCTGAAAAAAAAGAATATGTATATATAATTATTCCATATATAAATTATCGATATTACAAGAATTACTACGTCAATTTCTTCCTTCATCAATAACTTGTAAATACTCGGAGAAACTAACGGAGTGAACTGGGTATTAGACTTGAAGCATTATAATTAGCCTTGTGAAGTACTATGTTATTGTACTTTTGTTATTGTTAGTTATTTTAGAAACTTTTATTAATTTTTTACTTTTTTATATATAAATTTATTCAGATATAATTTTTTTTCTTCTTTTATATTATTTTTATTTAATTTATTTACATATTTTATTAATTTATTTTTGATTGTATAAAAAACTATTAATTTGTTATTTTATTATATTTTATTATATTTATTTTATTTTATTTCACGACTGACTCTTCATAATCATATCGGTACTATAACACACTATAACAGCCTCTAAAATGAAGAACAATTGAATAACATGAATTAATAAAACTTTTATAACATACGTCAATGAAGAAAATAAGGTTTATGAATAACCTTAATAATTCTAGCCTGCGGAACGGGCCCTAAATTGCCTGCGGAACGGGCCCTAAATTGTCTACGGAACGGGCCCTAAATTGTCTGCGGAACGGGCCCTAAATTGCCTGCGGAACGGGCCCTAAATTGTCTGTCTGGGTCCGTCAATATGGCTTACGGGACCCCTGGTTGAGTCTAGCTCCGTCTATACTGTAATCAAGGACAATAAATGAACAGTTTAACGCTTGGGTCAATGTTGTGATTTTTAAACCGTTCTCTCTCTCTCTCTCTCTCTCTCTCTCTCTCTCTCTCTCTCTCTCTCTCTCTCATCACCCTTTCTCCTTTATTTTTCTCATCGCTCCTTTGTTCTCTTTCCTTTTAATTCTTTGTTCTCCCTCTCTCTTCCTGTTCGTGTTGTTCTCCCTTTCTCCCTTCCTTCCTTCCTTCCTCTCCCCCCCCTCTCTCTCTTTGTCATCGTCCTTCCCCACCCCTCCCTTTCCTAATCTCATTCTTTTGCTTATTTCCTCTTTCTCCTCTTTCTCCTCTCTACCATTCCGTCTCCCTCCCTCCCCTACCTCATTCCGTCTCCCTCCTCCCCTACTCATTCCGTCTCCCTCCTCCCCCTACCATTCCGTCTCTCCTCCCCTACCATTCCGTCTCTCCCTCCTCCCTACCATTCCGCTCCTCCCTCCCTCCCCCTACCATTCCGTCTCTCCCTTCCTCCCCACCATTATTCCGTCTCTCCCTCCTCCCCCATCCATCCCTCTCCCTCCCTCCCCTTTCATCCACTCCCCCTCCCTCCCTTCCTTCCTTCCTTTACAACTGATAATAACAGTTTACTGATAATCTGTCATTATGTAGTTCCATTTACCCGGTAGTCAGTGAGGTGATTATCTCCTCTAACTACCACCCTCTTGGTTAAGTCTTCCCTCGTAATTACCAACTGATTCCACTAAATCGACTAATAATTCTCCTATCATAAAAAAAAGAATATGAAATTACAATTGACCCGCCGTTCTTAATATAGGATGCAAGCTGACAACTCAACTCAGTGTGCAATATGTGGGTTGATAATGGCATTGCAACATAATAAATTCAATGTGTAAAATGAATAGTGAAATGAAGTCTTTAAATACGTAAATAATAATGATCGGTTATACATTAGTTAAACAGATATTAACATGTTTATGAAGGGTTTATATTACACTGTGTTGGTGTTTGTGTGTTTCAACTACTAGAAATTAACAGTTTAATCTTTAGTTAACAAGATGATTCTTTCCCCCTATGGTTTATTTCACCTTAAGATTAACCTAACCATCTTTACGCTATTTAGGGATGTGAGGTTAGGATAGGATAGGATAGGGTTAGGTTACGTTAACGTTAAGTTAGGATAGGGTATAGCGTCAGGTTAGCGTTGGATTAGGTTAAGTTAGGTTGGAATAATGTTAGGTTAATGTTAGGTTAGGTTAGGATAGGGTATAGCGTAAGGTTAGCGTTGGATTAGGTTAAGTTAGGTTGGAATAATGTTAGGTTAATGTTAGATTAGGTTAAGTTAGGTTAGGATAGGGTATAGCGTAAGGTTAGCGTTGGATTAGGTTAAGTTAGGTTGGAATAATGTTAGGTTAATGTTAGATTAGGTTAGGTTAGTTATTGTTCAGTGAAAAATAAACTTGGGGGAGTATTCTTCAGGTGATCCCAAATCAATTAGAGAAGACACGACTGAATAATTGCATTTTTACAATATACAAATAATAATATCCTTCATTTTATCCGTTTCTTTTTCATTCTTTATTACATTATTATTTTATTCATCAGAGCTAAAATAAAATTGAGTTCCATTTTTACTCAGTATTTAAAGTTTAATATAACAAAGGTAACATAATCTCACTCCTCTCAATATAACGCCACCTATTTTATTGACGCAACCATAAATATAAACTAAATAGTATATCATTCGTTAATATAGTATACTAGAATATGTTAAGTGTGACTAGTATATATTTTGTATTATTTAATATAAAGTGGAATTAGTCTTCATTGCTTCAATTATCTGTAACGTCGATTTTATTACGAATTGTATATATAATTTTTTTTCTATCATATATTATCGATTTTCATATTTCAATATAAAATCAATTTCATCGTTGAATATTTATGAACACCAATTAATTTTGACTAATTATATATATATAGTCGCTTTTATCATTAGAGAAAATCATAATTATTATTTTATAGAATATGGTCAAAAAAATAAACTGCAGCAGTCAGCATTCGTAATAAACCAAAGTGTCTGATTGATTTTGTATCTGGTCATAAATAAATACAAATGGCGTGTATATTTGGCTCTAGTAAATTCATATTCAAAGTTGGTTCTGCCCTAGGCTTAAAGTGTCCCGTATAGCCTACATATAAGGCCACACACACACACACACACACACACACACACTAGCCAGTACTGGAACATGATATGCACACTTTTCTGAACACCATTTACTTACCCCTCGAAAGTTGATCTTTTTGTTTACGCTTTTACACTGACGTCACATCCTGCCAATATGTGCGAATATATTAGAAATTACATAACGAAGAAGAAACCCGAAATATAAGAAGAGATTTTAAGAATATATTAACATTATTCGTATAACTTAGCACTATGAGAAACACTTAACAGAATTCGACACTGTTTATAGAACCCAATACTCTGTTAATATTAGCTATCATGAACTAATAAGTACTGATGATGATAGAGGGTAATAATGATAGTGGTCGTTTGGGTGTCTCGTTTTAACTGGTGAGGAGGGTGTGAGCGGCGCGGTGTACTGTATAGCGAGTGAAAGTTGTGTTTGTTAGCGAGGTCTGGGATAAACTGGACCCCTGTTATCATACCTGTTATCATACATAAATAACAGGTATAACTTAACAAAAGACAAATCTTATTTAATTGGTTGATTTAGAACTTTTTATAGAAGCAAACTATCTCCACTAATTATCTCCATTAATAAACTATCTCCACTAACTATCTCCACTAACTATCTCCACTAACTATCTCCATTAAATATCCCCACTACAATTATTACCATGATATAATCTCTCGTCTTCCCTCTCCCACACACACAGGCGCCGTCGACAAATACCGCATCCGTAAGAAATATCCGCTACCCAAGACGATCTGGGACGGTGAAGAGACCATCTACTGTTTCAAGGAGAAATCACGGCTGGCGCTGAAGGAGTGCTACAAACAAAACCGCTACCCAACCCCGGACGAGAAGAGAAATTTGGCTAAACAGACGGGTCTAACCTTAACCCAAGTCTCTAACTGGTTCAAGAATCGTCGACAGAGGGATCGTAATCCAGCACCCAGACCGTGAGTTAATATGTTGGTTTTTTTGTTTGTGTGTGTGTGTGTGGGGGGGGGGGTTGTGTGGGATGGTGGTTGGTTAGGTTATTGTGGGGATAGCGTGTGGGGGACGGGGCTGGCTAGGTTGTGGTGGATAGTGTGTGTGTGTAGGTCGAGGGTTATATCTAGACTTCTCCTAAAACAAATTACAACCTTGATACCAATGCAAAAATGTGGGTTATGACGGCGTGTTGGCCTATAACGAATATATATAGATACATATATAACGAAGTGGGGCTCTAACAGTGTTTGGTCTTGTGATATAACAAAATTATGTCATTGGTTATAATATGAAGAGGTGTGGTGGCAGAGTGGATATACCAACCACCTCCCGTCCTTAAGGTCATTGGTTCGAGCCCAGAATACCCTCAGTTAGGTTAGGTACGGTGTGTGTGTGAGTGTGTGTGTGCCGAGCAGTAAGATGGCGGCGGCCGGTGTCAACACAACAACACGCTCCTCAGAGAAACAAGTGACTGTTCTCTAGCGCATCTCCACTTTCACGTCACTCTATCATTGGCTGACATCGGCTTGGCGACCTGGCCTGACCTAGCGTGACCCCCCACCCTGTCCCCCTCGCGCCCGTACCACAAGGGATGTTGGTAATATCTGAAGAACTATATTGCTCTATTGTTTATATTTCTTCCTATGCAGAGCTGAAACCAGACCTCAAATTTGACCGATGCAAATCTTTCAATTTTTGTGGAGTTTATCCTAAAAAAGTCTATGGGATTTGTACTCCTCATTCCGCAACGCCGTATTTTTTTTTTTTTTTTTTTTTTTTACTTTATCCTCTTCGCCATTGATCAGGGCTTGGGTAGTCGTTCACGTCTCTGTTACGCACTGTCGGTATATACTGGGTATGTACTGTGCTCCTGAATGTATCTGAACCTGCTCCAGTGTTGGTCAAGTCTGGTCTTGAAACAGCTCACACTCGGTGCCGTCACAACACTCTGGCAGATTCTCACTCCGAAACAATTTGCCCTCATGATTTTCTGGACTTGTTGTTTCTTCAACCTTGAGCTGTGACCACCAGCTCCAGGTATAAGCCTAAGTCATATTGGGTTCCGGTATCAATAGAACCCATGATGCAGTGCCAATAGCCGACAGTCTTAATAGGCCCTGGTTCTTATAGGCGACTTAGCTAGTAGATTCCACTCCCAATAGCCGACATATCTTTAAAAAAATCAGGATTAATAGGCTAACCCAACCCAACCCAACCCAACCTGACCTAACCCAACCAACCCAACATAATCCAATATACCTAACCTAACCTAACCTAACCCAACCTGACCTAACCCAACCAACCCAACATAATCCAATATACCTAACCTAACCTAACCTAACCCAACCTGACCTAACCCAACCAACCCAACATAATCCAGCATACCTAACCTAACCCATTATAACCATTATGATTGAGGCTCAGTCCTAATGGGTCCCAATCATAGTACAGTAGTGAGATTGGACTGGCACCAATCACACTGTTGTGGTTGTGCACTTGTCACCTGCTCTCCTGTACACGGTGGGTCAGGATGGGTCACTGGCAGGACACGTCACGCCCCTCTGAGGTCAGCCACCCAGGACAGGTCAGGCATGGGTCAGGTGGTGCCCCTCCTCTCTGACCCACCCCCCCCTCTCACAAACCTAACCTTGACCTAAATTGAACGAACCTAATTTCAAAATAACCTAATTCTAACGTAATCCTAACCTAATCCTAACTTAACATTAGGTTTAGGTGAGTTTTTATATTAAATTGTTTCATAGATTAAGGTTAAGTTAGGTTAGGGTAGGTTAGGTTAGGTTAGGTATAAATTTATAGAAGTAATTTCAGTATTTACCGAGTATGTGAGTCTCATTAAACAGTTTTAATATGAAATAAAAATAACTACATCGTTTTGCTTATGATTTTTAAACCAATTTCTAATTACTCTAAAAAGTAACTCACAATTTATATACAAGAATTATGGGTCAACCCCTCCTCTACCGGGGTCAAGTGAGGTCGAGTAAGGTCATGTGACAATGTGTATATGGTCAGTCCATATCCAAGGTCACCTACAATAATGACCTCGCTCTAACTAAGAGATGTTTTGACCTTGGTGGCGGTTCAGTGAGAAAAGTAATTCCATGACCTGAGTTGACCTATGATTAGGGTCAATCTTGTGTCAACGGAGATAAACATATTAACGAGGCAGTTCTGTCGTGTGCTGTAGTGATAATGATGCTATGATGTATCTCTACTCTTCAACAAATTAGGGTTGTGTGTGTGTGTAATAATACATAATAATAATAATAATAATAATAATTAACGGTTTATTGAAAGAGCTTGGCAGCCAGAAGGCTGAAAATATACAGTTACATATTTGGGGAATGTTTAATTACAAAATATACAAGTAACATAAGTGACACAAATAAGACATATAATAACTAGATGGGGAAAGTCAACCACAGTTCATTTCCAACATAGTGACAGTGTAGGGAGCAGTGTTTACTGAGTGAATACACTGATTTATTACAATATTGATAATTTTACAATGGTTGGGACTGGGCTGTTCTTATAGCGATCAGTTCGTGCACGTATGGGCTGGATGGTGTAGGTGTCGAACAGCAACTCGGACTAGGATCTCAGGTAGTAGGGACATGTCGGGATGGTGGAAGCTTCTACCAAATTTGCAGATGAGGTCGTGGTGATGGTCAGTGAGAGTGAAAGGGTCAGTGTGTTGAGCGCTTCTGATATTTGTGTGTGTGTGTGTGTTCTACATGTGTGTGTGTTCAGTACCATATGTAGTCATTATATGTATGTATGTATGTATGTGAGCGAGCCGGGGTGGTGGGGGGGGCACTATGACCGTGTGAAATCCTGGTGTCAAGTGGTCCCTATAGACTGTGACCTGTAATTGGGACCTGTGACACTAACTTGGGACCTGTGGCTGTGACCTGTGACCTGGGACCTGTGACACTGACCATGGACCTGGGGGTAGTGGATTGGGTTGGGGATGCAGGAGTTGTGTGTGGAGTAAGGGAGGGAAGGAAGCTAAGGGTTGCATCTAATGTGAGACACTCCCTCTCTCTTGGCTGTCAGATCAGGTCAGGTCAACGGAGGTCACCCAACAATAGAGCGACAACCACTCTCGTCTTTCCCTCCTCCCTTAACTACCCTTAGTTTCGGCTCCACTGGGAACTTATTTACTGGAGTTGATGATTTTACCTTAGATGATCTCGATTCCTTAGATGATCTGACCTCCTTAGATGGTCTGAATTCCCCCTTAGATGGTTCGACCCTCCCTTTAGATGGTTTAACTCAGGTACACAGACAGTGAAGCTCCGAGATCCAAAATGTAAACAAACTCTCGTACGCCAAGGATGACGTCACAGTGTTTATGAATGGATCAGCTGATAGTCGACTCCTCAATGAAGACGTCAAGAAGTCCTTTTACACACACACACACACCACACACACACACACACACACACACACACACACACACACACACACACACACACACACACTCAATCAATCTCCTCCCACTCATTGACTCACTCACTTAATTATTGACTCACTCACTTACTTATTGACTCACTTATTTTTATCATGCACTCATACTCGGTTTTAGTAGTGGTAAAGAGGACACAATCCGACAAAAGCTCCCTGGACAAAGCCTACGATAAAAGCCCTCCCGGAAAAAGCCCTCCCCGACAAAGCCCTCCCGGACAAATCCTCCCCCAAGGACAAATAATAACATTTTAGATCATTATTTTCTTATTCTTATTATTTACACTTTATGGACACTTCCTGGGGTGGTTGGGGGTGGTAGTGTAAGGGTAGTAGTTGTGGTAGATGGGCATGGTTGCAGGGGGAGGTTGTTGAGTGTAGTGGTATAGGATTATTGGTGTGTGGTGGTGTGTGGTGAGGGGAGATAGGTGAGGGTAGCTAAGGAAGGGAGGATAGGGGGCAGCATGGGGTACCACCATTAAGGAACAGTATGTCCTGTGGTGAGAGAGGGGGTTGGGGAGGGGGGTCAGAAACAGGAGGGGTTGAAGGAAGGAGGCGTGAGAGGTGGAGAAGAGGGGGGTAACTAGAATGACTCATACTAGTTTTTATGGCAAGATCATTACTATGCGGCAGGGAAGGTCGGTGTGTGTGTGTGTGTGTGTGTGTGTAGAGTTATGTGTGGTTCACGACTCACAACACGTGGTGGTACTTTTATGGTGGTAGTAGTAGTGGTGGTGGTGGTGGTAGTAATTGTGGTTGTTGTGGTTAAAGAAAATGTTATTATGGATGAGACTAGTGGTGGTAGTTGCGGTGTGTTGTGTTGTAGTCGGTAGGTGGTGGTGGTTGTGTGGTGTAGTGGTGTGGTGGTAGTAATTGTGGTTGTTGTTAGAAAATGTTATTATGGATGAGACTAGTGGTGGTAGTTGCGGTGGTGGTGGTGGTGGTTGTAGTGGCGGTAGTGGTGGTGGTGGTTGTAGTTGTAGTGGTTGTGGTAGTAGTTGTAGTGGTGGTAACGTTTGATGCTGGTAGTGATATATTTTACCACGGTTGTTGTTGTTGTTGTTGTTGTTGTTGTTTGTAGATGTTGTAGTAATATATTTTTCATTACATATACACTGTAGATTATCTGTAAATACAAGATGGCCGCCTCTGACCAATAAGAACTGTCCTTTTTGTTGACATTCTTAACGATGAATTTTATTCTCTCTCTCTCTCTGCCTCGTTGTAACCTGCCGCTGTGATTGGTTGACGGGCACTATGTTAACCAATGACAGCTGACTATCTCATTCATGACCGTCCAGGAGGCAATGAATCTGTCAACGGTGGTTCTGTTGGTCCCTCCTCCCTCCTGCTCCACTCCTCCTTCCTCCTCCTCCTCCCAACCTAACCTAACCTAAGCCTTCAGATAGCGTTAGGTGTAATCATCAGGTGACTAAGAGTGTGTGTGTGTGTGTGTGTGTGTGTGTGTGTGTGTGTG